AGACACTCGATCGTGGTTAAAATCTTCCCTGCACGTTGTCTTGTTCGCAGATTTATCCGATTTGATTTTTCAGCAACTTACCCGATCGGGTATAGGTCATACCCGACCGGGTACAAGACCAAAAATCAGGATCTTCATTTTTTCTTGGGGTTTTTGCACCTTCTTTCCACTTGTGATGTTCACCATTGGTCCCTAAAGTGTTCTTGGACCTGTGTGAGCTCAGAATGACCTAATCTAAACAAATTACAAATATTTTACAGACTAAACTATTACACCAAAAGTGTGTAATTTCCAAAGTAATAATCAATCTAAACTAATTAAAAAACACAAACATAAACATGGAAATTACATGAATGTCACCTAGTTTATTACACTCCCTCAAACTGTGCGGGAGATACAACGCGCATGTTGTCTTTTAAAAAATGAAAACGTTGACTAAGAAGACTTTTAGTAAAAATATCTTCCAGATGTAAATGAGTGGAAACATATTGAACCAGTAAATCACCATGAGCAACATATTCTCTAACAAAATGATAGTATATCTGAATGTGCTTACTCCGAGCATGCTGGACGGGATTAGTAGTCAAGTAGGAGGCTGAAATATTATCGCACAATAAATTGACCGGTACCATGATAGGAAAAACAAGCTCAGATAGCACAAGCCGAATATGCAACGTATCCTAAATCATATATCAATAGCGCGATAATCGGCCTTAGTGGAGGACTTGGAGACAGTAGGCTGCTTCTTTGACTTCTAGGAAACCAGATTAGGGCCCAAGCAAACTACAAAGCCAGTCGTAGAGTGAGAGGTATCCAGACAGCCGGCCCGATCTGCATCGGAATAAGCCAAAACACATGTCGGCATAGCAGAAGCCTGAAGCCATAGACCATTATCACGAGTGCCCTGTAAATACCTGAAAATCCGCTTGACTGCAAAGAGATGAGTAGTACGGGGAGCATGCATAAATTGAGACACTAAGTGTACTGCAAAAGTAATATCAGGCCGTGCCAAAGTTAAATATTGTAACACACATACTACCATGTTGCGATACCTAGTGGAGTCTGACAGTAACTCGTCATCAGTGAGGGGTCAAAGTAGTGTGAGACGCTAAAGGAGTACGAACATAATTGACATTGTGTAAATGAAATCGGGCAAGCAAATCAGTGACACATTTTTTTTTTTGAGAAAGAAATAAACCATTGTTAGCGCTTCAACAACCTCCCGACACCACCAGTTTCGACCACCGGAAACAAATGCCTAACATTTGTCAGAAATGCCATCTTGATAGCAGTTTCGAGAAAATTTTGACCTTTTAGAAGAGTAAAAGTTTCATCTTAATGGCAATTCCAGAGGAAAAATGATTGTTTTTACACAAAATGATATTTTTTTACCAACTAGATGTGACATTGTTGGGCGCTGGCTAAGACTAAGGGAAAGACCTCCAACAACAACAACAACATCCAAGCCTTAATCCTAAGAGAATTTGGGGAGGGAAAGGCCTCCGTATTTTTTTTAAATGTGTTCTATCTATTTTTTATGGAGAAAATAATTTAAATATCTCAAACTATGAAGGAGTGTGAGATAAGTACCGCAAATTTGCCCATGTAATATATACCCCAAACTTTATATAAAAATTAATATTAGCACAGCGGTTCAGGAGTGAAGATTGAACAACAGTCATCGATTTTATGTGTCGCCTTCTCTGGTTCTTGAGAAATAAAAAACTAGGACCCTTGTACAGATCAGGATCGCCATCCGGAACAAGGAAATGAGCGGTTGCCGCAAAATCGTGACAGTGGACAACAGTGAGGATGTCTTAATCGCACGCAGCAAGACCGGTTATGCTGGGGAGAACGACAGAAGGATTATGCTTATTAAGAGAGGATGCCGACAGAAGAAGGGAGGCAGTGTCAGCCGAAAACAGGCATTAACAGCCAACCAATAAAAAACTAATTAGGGTTTTTAGGCTAGAGACGTGCTAATAACGTGTTGAAGAGAGAATTGCATGTGTGTGTGATTTCATTACCAAATGCCCTATAAATAGGGAGAGAGTAAGCTTTACAAGGATGGACTAACAAGCTCATAATACTGAGTATACACAAGATGCTCTAATAATATTTTATATGCACGATAGCACACTACATAGAATTTCCCTTCAATTCAACAATGTACATGTTGTTTACACAACCCCTATTTTACCTTTGTACATCATCAATTCGTCAAAAACGGCAGATATTTCGGATGTTGTTTGTGCTCACAACAAAACAAGGACTGTGTGTAAAAATGTGTACACCACTAATTGTCCCTAAAAATTTAACAAGCTCCATGAAACATTTCTTTTGTACATGGATTCATAACTGTGACACATTGCGTCCCTATGACAATACATTGAGCTTGTTTGAAATATTTAATTGAGGCGTACGTAACTAATTTAATTTTTAACTAGCACGAGTAAGTATTAAACTAAAAGATTCTAACATTAATACATACTCCCTCCGTCCAACTTAAAAGTTCCCACGCGATTTACGATGTTTGATTGACCATAAAGTTAACTAATCCATGTCATTAATAAGATTATTTTTAGTAAATACGGAGTAAAATTTACATTTTCAGAAACTATATTAAAAGTTTTATAATACTTGGTCAAAAAAATTAAATTTGATAAAAGTTGGATATATAAAGTAAAATATTAGGAACAATTGACGTTGACCGGAGAATAGTGGACGAGAACTTTTAAATGAGACGGAGGGAGTATAATATATACAGATAATACAAAAATGTAATCTATATAATATAATAAAGCAAACTCCTAGAGAAACTTATAGAGGAATTGTTGACATGTGGCAAAACTCATTGTAAGTTACTTGGACATGTGGCAAAATCAATGAAAGAACACTGACGTGTCATGTGCAAGAAAAATTTGACATTTGTCGACATCATAGGGATTTTCATAGCAATTAATTAAAGAACATCAAATTAATAGCACCATTAATAAATAAACGTCCCACACTCCCACATAATAATATCAACCTATTCAGTTTCCAATGATCGGCCAACGTTTATTTATCACCACATTTACCTTCGGTAGCACGAAAATCGGTTGATTTGGCTGATTCTGCTTAAATTTATGAAGTTCTGGCTGAAGTGACTGCATTGGCGGATCTGTTGATTTAAGAAAAAATTATTTTTAAAATATATATTATTAATAAAATAAAAAAAATTACATGTAAAAATAGCTAAAATGATCATCTACACTCTACAGTAACTTCAACCAATACAGCCAGAAAAGTAACTCTAACCTTACTTTTCTACTTATCACACAATTCAGCGCGCGAAAGCAAAAGTTACATGTTTGGTGAACAAGTTGGCTGATAAGCCGCAAAAACAGTGTTGTCAAACGGCCTCCTAGATTTCAAAATTAATTCAGTCTCTGGCCTGATCGCTGTCAATTTGACATTTTTAGTCTCTTCATTATAACAATGATTTAATAATATTTTTAATTAAATCTATCAAGTATTTTCAATTGAAACAACACATGACAATAGAGGAGGCTATATATATATATATATATATATATATATATATATAATAATAATAATAATAATAATAATAATAATATTGGAATACATAAGAATTAGGGAGAAATATTTGTTTTTATTTTATGAGAGACTAAAAATTGTTAACTATTTTTTATTTTAGAGTATTTGTAAATTGTACCATCTCGAGTGCAAAATTTTACCTAACTGTGTGCAGAATATTATGACAAATATAAAAATATAAAAATAAATAAATATATTAGATGAGTTGTTTAAAACAACATATGATAATAGAGGATGATACATATAAAGTATATTGGAGTATGTCATTTTTCATACAAAAGATGTTGCCACATGTTAACAATTCCTTTAAAGGGTTCTTTAGAGGTTTACTTTATTATATTATATAGATATAGATTTGATTAACATAATACTACGTTTTTTTATATAATTGAATAATTTACTGCGTACTATGTGGGACGAGTATTAAAGGAGTGTTCGCAAAAACTTAAAAAAAAACACTTTTCAGCGTTTGGTTTAAAAAAGCTGAAATGAAATTTCCATGTTTTTAAGTGACAACATTTAAGCCGAAAGCTGGTGGAAATGTGTTTTAAAGTGTTTTTCACTTTTTCTGTTATAAAAAAATCATTTTTTTAATTAAGGACATTTTTTTAAACACAATTAGGGATGCAAATAGGCCAGGCGGCCTGTCCTGTGGCCTGACATGTTAAAAGTCTGGTCTGGCCTAGTCTGTTTAGTAATCAAACTAGGTTTGGGCTTTTCAAAAAGCATGTTTATCTAAATAGGCTAGGCCTAGTCCAACTCTGAGACCTTTTTAGCTTAAGAGGCCGGCCTATTTATATGTGTATATATTTAATTATATTATATTTATTTATATTATTTACATTTATATTTATATTGGTATACTTAACTATAGCAAATTCGGCATAATAGTATTTTTATGGAGTGTGTATTATAAATTAGAGTAGAATACTATTTTAAATATATATAAAATGTGCTAATAGTTTATTAAGGTAATTGAAATTAAAAGTTTTTCAAGATTTGAAGTATATAGAAATTTATTTTCACTACATAATACTACGTAACGTATTATTAGACATCCAAAGCAAAACTAACGTATTATTAGACTTTTAAGTAAATATTTGGGGAAATAAATTTTATACCGGGTTAAAAGGATTTATCGCTTTTTATTTTTTATTTTTTTGAAATTTTGTTTTTTTTTTCTTAAAAGGCCCAGTAAACAATTCCAGACCAGGCTTTTAAACAGGCCAGACTCAGTCCGAAAAACCAGACCTTTAATAGGTAATAGGTCAGACTCAGGCCTATACATTCTTAAATAGGCCCGACCTGACCTGTTTCCATTTCGAAACACAATTAACTTTTACTATTAACCATTTTCTCAAATATTACTAAAAACAACCTCATATGCTCCCTGAACAGTGGATATCAATCATTTTCTTTCTAGAGGTTGAGTTCCCAGTTCCTTCCCACCCCACCCCTAGTGATACCTGCGACATTGCAAGGCCAAAGAACTACGTGAATGATTAACAACAAGACGGGAGGAAGGGTTCGTTGAACGTCGAAGGACAAAAGAATGGAAATGGTGTCAGATGATTATGGATCTTTCATAGATAAATTCACACTCCAACCATTTTTTTCTTCTCCACAGCTCCCCTTACATGGCCTCACATTTTCTTTAAAAGATATGTAATTCCCCTCGACCCTCTCGCAGAAAGAGCTAGTTATGTAATTCAGTTCGAATCCGGCGAGTTTACTCCATTGGTTGATCATCAAGTGTTTCACTATTTCCTGTTTAGTAACTTATACATATACTAAATAACATATAGATTAGTATTTATTCCTTTCTGAATAACAAAGAGTAATAATTTTGGCACTAGATTTGATGTGGAAGGTTATGTGACGGGATTTGGGAACCCGGATTGGGCAAGGACTCATTCTGCAGCAACATCAACTTCACCTGTGGTTTTGGATCTTCTAAGGGCAGGTGCCACTGCTGTTGGCAAGACTGTCATGGATGAAATGGCATACAGGTTGTTTGCTCATCTCCAAGTTTTTTTTTAAAATTCAGTTTCAAACTTTCAGAAATGTGGTCATTGTTCCAACTCTAAACATAATAGAATGAGGAAATTCCCTGAAGAGTGAAACATAGCACATTTTCTCAAATAGGAGTGGAATGTATCAAATAGGAGTATCATTGCTTCCTATTAGGAAGCAATAATAGAAGGGAGTATAGTTGCTTTTCTGCCAAAGCATGACCCATTCATTCCTACTTTGGAAGTTTTCATTGTTTTATTATTTTAGTATATGTTCCAGAAATTTTCAAGTCAGTTTGATCTAGTAGGCTCTATTTAAGTTTGAATGAGCCTAGTCTGATAAGGGCTAGTATTATTGGTAGTTTACTGCTACCTGAGTCAGTTTGATATGGTTGGGTAAGATCTGTTTAAGTCTACTCAAGTTTGATCTGGTCAGAGCTAAAATCTGTTCTTTTAAACATTCTTAATACAATTGAAAACGTCTTATTTTCCAAATAAATCCTACGTGGTCCTACTTTTTAACTTTGTTCACGTTTTACTTGCAATTTCTTACTTGAATCTTGTTTACACTGCCAATATAGTTTCATTGGATGAATTAGTTATGATGAGTAACACTCTTTTTGAAATGTTCAAATATAGATATACAAATTCAAATATAATGCAGGAACAAAATCACTTACGAACTCAAACTGACATTCAAAACCTTCCACTACTCTATCCTATAATGTCACTTTTAAAATTTTAGGATGGGACCTCAATCTTTAATACTTACGATTCAAGAGTTTATTATGATCAAATAAGAGACATGATCCGAATATCCGATTAAGACTCAATCAGAGGATTAAATCCCAAGTGCGGGACTGCTGGTCAATTAATTTGAAACTCATGCATATATTGGCAGTATAAACGGTGAGAACATCCACTCTGGGACACCCAGAAATCCATGTGCTGCAGATAGGGTTCCTGGAGGGTCATCTAGTGGATCTGCTGTTAGTGTTGGTGCGATGCTGGTGGACTTCTCCTTAGGTATCAATGTTTATTCAATTGGAGTGTTTGTGCATGTCATGTTTTTGAGTTTATATTCATGAAAGGGTTTCAATCTCTCACAGGTACTGACACTGGGGGAAGTGTAAGAGTCCCTGCATCCTACTGTGGAATATTTGGAATCCGACCGTCTCATGGAGTTGTTTCGACTGCTGGAGTTATTCCAATGGCACAAAGTTTTGATACAGTTGGTGAGAAATTAGTACTATATAATACTTCACCTATGTGACTAAATTTTGTTAATTTTCTTTATTTGACTGCCTCAAAAACTTTGTCACTTTTGTTTTAAAGTAATAAACTCACGATTGATATCATTTCTTTCTCCTCTGCACAAACCATAACCGCACCATTATTACTTTCTCATCCAAGGTGCGTGCAAGTCAAATTTGTCAAGTTTAGTGGAGTGGTGGGAGTATGTTTTATAAAAGTGTAGTAGTAAGAGACAGTTGGAGGAAATGATGTTAGTTCTAATAGTTTAATTCCCTCATAACTTTGAGAGCTCAATGTATTATACTACCTCCACTCTGAAAAGAATGTTGTGTGGTCAATATAAGACTCTTTAGTTCTGGTAAGGTACTTGTGAGATAAATGATAAAGCTACTTTTCTTTGCTAATAACATATGAATATTTCATATGTTATCAAGTGACTTGTCTGTGATTTTTTGTTTGGAAAAATTACCTGATGATTAGCTTAGTTTGAGGAATAGTACTCTGTATATTTTTGGGACCAAAAAAGTGTTTGAAGCAGATAAATGGATTTAAAACGTTTAATGTCCCATACAGGATTACTTTAAGGTTCAGGGGTTTTAATGTGAAATTGTCAAATTGATGATTCCATTTTTTTGTCATGTCTAATTGTCTTATAATGAGTATGAAGATTGTTAATTGGAATTCTAAAGGAGCTTCTAATGTGCAATCAGGGGAAGATTTGAACCAATTTGATAAACAAATAGATTAGAAATGCTTAAAGGCAAGTAGGCAACCATAGAACTACACTAAGACGAGAGATGTTAAATGTGGAATTGATAATTCAATACTCTTTATATCTTGTATTTTGTATGAAGAGGGTCAATGGTAGTGACTATACCATAAAATTTCTAATGAAGGAATTCGTTTTTCACTTTTTCAGGATGGTTTGCGAGGAATTCATCAATCTTAAAGAAAGTAGGAGAAGTCTTATTGCCTTCTCAAAACTTGCATCCCACTAGACCTGATCAAGTTATCATTGCAGAGGATTGTTTCAAGCTTCAAGACTTTTGGGGCATCCAGTCCACAAAAGCATTTGAAGATTCAGTAAAGAAAATATACGGATGTAAGTGATTTACATATTGACTTTGCATGTTGTGACAACAACAACAACATGCAACAAAAATTCGCATGGTGTGACATTTTAGAAAATTAAAATTGGATGAATAAGCTGTGCAGGTGAGACCATTAAACACACAAGTTTGGGAGAATTTGTTGAGAATAATGTTCCAAGTCTGAAATCTTTCATGGACCAAGGATATGGAAATCAAGAATATATACCCTCTTTATTAGCTCTTTCAAATGCTATGCGGTTGCTTCAAAGGTGTGGGAAAAAAGTGAATTCAGTACTGGTTTAGACGTTTCGTCTCTTTCTTTTTAAGGTTCTTGATAGAGTTCCAGTAAGGAGAAATCTATGCGGTAGTAATAAGATTTTAGGATGAACTAGCTAATAGACTTGATAGAGTTCCAGTAAGGAGAAATCTATGCGTTAGTAATAAGATTTTAGGATGAACTAGCTAATAGACTTGATTCCATCTCTTTTTTGTCCATCTTATTGCCGAGTTGAGCAACCCAATCCAGCATTGAATTCTACCCGTTTTTTTTCCTACCTTGTATTTTATTCTAAGTAATTTGACCCCCCTTACCCCACCGTAGGTGGGAGCGGCACTGGGGTAATGATGATGAAGATGATTTTATTCAAAGTAATTCATGAAATGGAAACATCTCATGAAATTGTACAGATACGAATTCAAGAAGAACCATGGTGAATGGGTTAGCACAGTTAAGCCAAATTTAGGTCCAGGGATAGCAGAACGGGTTTGGGAAGCACTCAAAACTACGGATGAGAAGATAGATGTCTGTCTCTCTATAAAGTCTGAACTAAAAGAAGCTCTCGGGACACTCTTGGGGGTAATGCAAACCTCTTGTTATGTGCATTATGTTGTTCTCATTTTGGACACGTTGAATGTTACTCTTCCCCCAAATTTTAGGGGATGTTCAGAACCTCAGATTATAAAACTTGACTACAATTAACTTCAATTTTCGTTTGGTTGTATTTAATTTAATGTTAATAACAGAACTAAAATATGGGTCATAATCTTGAAAACAATGTGCTCTTCAATTTATACGGAGCTATATCAAGGATATGCTTGATTGGATGGCTTATGAAGAGAGAAACGAAGGACTGCATATCAAGTAATCTTTTTTTCAATTTATTGTTCTGACTCTTATATATGGATAGGATGGTGGCATACTTGTGATACCTACTGTTCCTGGAGCTCCACCAAAGCTACAGACAGATCCCAACAGCTTAGAAGCCTTTCGTGTCAAAGCTTTTAGCCTATTATCGGTTGCTGGAATATCGGGTTTTTGTCAGGTTAAGTTTCTCTGAACTCCTCCCCGCCCATAAGTATTACAACTATGACAAAAGCTATTAGTTAGCTACTAAAGTTTGTTTATCTTGCTCTTCATTGAAAATACATATTAGACTCTTGTTTTAGAAGACTCTTTTATTAATTAATATGCCATTATACTAGTCACCTAATTATAGCCTAGGGGTCTAATTCATTTGCATTTACAAATATGCCAATATACTAGGTGCCTAATTGCCATTTGCAAAATTGCTCCTCTCCCACCCTCATTGGGGTAACGAATTTTCTTGGGGTGGTCTTGAAGACCCCCTGCGGATATTAAAATTATGAGCCAAAGTTTTATGTTTATATAAGATTATGAACCAAACAGAATCTTAAGGGTTGATGATTGGACCAACAGGTAAACATACCACTCGAAGCATATGGCAACCTTCCTGTTGGAATATCATTGTTGGCAAAGCATGGGTCTGATCTTTTTCTTCTCAATACTGTTGATGCTATCCATGGAAGTCTCCAGGAGCAGGTTGAATTGTTAAAAGACTGATTACTCTTTTCTTTAGCAAGTTTCTGTGCATAATTGTTTCTTATTCCTACTCTCCCTTTTTACATTCTAAAACAACTACTTATCAGACACAGCAATTTCTCATCTCAAGATACTGGCCAGCAATTGTTGGACTTCTATAGATATCCAAAAGTTTTTTATCAGTGGAAATTCATTTTAACCACCGTTGATCAGAAGAACACTTCACTCTCTAAAGATATAGTCTCATCCAAAAAACACTTCTGATAATTTGATTATACAAAGAGTATAAACACACATAAAAAGTGTGCGTGATACACTAATACTGTGTATTAGTGTGTTATTTTCTATAGATCAACAAGGGTTTACATTAGGCAACACAGTAAAAACCATCACATATTTCACACTCTCAAACTGACACAATAACTAAATAAAGGAAGTGCAGCCCTTCCTTTAACGCAACACAGACATTATAATTACACGATACATATAATAACATAGTATAATTACATAAAAGCTAGCCGCCCTTATTAACACTCTCCTTGTGACTGCCCTTTGGTTTTTCTTCAACCACTAACAATTGTTCCTCCTGCAAAAGCGTACCAGAAACATTACATTACTCAGGAAATGCATAAAACATTAGCTGTGACCAAAAGAGTATTATGTTTTTTACCAAAAAGATGAAAAGGCAAATGTCTAGCGTACCATTGGGGTGGAGGACTTGGCCTGTAAAATAACTGGATTCCGGGCTGGATGCGAGGAAAACATAAGACGGAGCAACCTCGATGGGGTGGCCCGCCCTCTGCATTGGCACTTCTTTACCAAAGCTTTGACACTCAGATTCGGTGAACGAAGCGGGAATCAGCGGTGTCCAGATTGGACCAGGGGCAACCGCGTTCACACGTATCCCCTTGTTCACCAACTGCAGAGCAAGCCCTCTGGTGAATGCCACAATTGCGCCCTTCGTTGCGCAGTAATCAAGCAGCTTTGGACTCCCTTTGTATGCTGTCACTGAGGTTGTGTTTATTATTGAGCTCCCTTCCTTCATGTGCTTCACAGCATGCCTGAAATCATCAGGATACATATTTTGAAATAGTGACAAATGTGCATGGGCATGACTAAACATGATAGAAGTGTGACTTTTAATTTACATTAGTTTTAGGGTTTGATTAAAATTGATAGGGTATGGATGGGATTATATACTTGGTAAGAAAGATATGTGAAAAGATATTAGTCCTAAAAACCCTCAAAAGCCTAGATTCTTCAATCTCCTCAATCGACCCGGTCTTGTACTGCTCGGCTGCATTGTTGACAAGAATATCGATCCTCCCGTAAGCATTCACCACTGCATCCACGACCTTCTTGCAGTTCTCATCGAACCCCAAGTCGGTCGGTATTGCCATAGGCTCTTTTCCACCTTTGGATGCCTGCTTTAAGATCTCAAGGGTATCCCTGGCATCCTTGTCCTCCTGCGGTTTCACGTAGGTGAATGCCACCGTCGCACCCTCCAATGCGAAGCAGTGGCAAACAGCTCGCCCGATCCCCGAATCTCCTCCAGTCACCAGTGCGATCTTTCCCTGCATACAAGTTATTACTGTAGCTTTAATAGGGAAGCACTTACTCAGTTACTCTGAGTGCGTGCATGCATGAGCAGCTGATATACACACGTACAAGTACAAATGAAATATTTTTACTCCCTCTGTCCCATTAAAGATTGGAAAACTTGGAAGGTATCTTAAATTTAAATATTAAAAAAGTTGAAAAAGAGAAAAGAAAAAAAAAGTAAGCAAAATCACAACTTAACAAATTAAACTAGTACTTAAAAGAGGAAGTGATAATAACGAAGAAGGAAAGCTAAGTGCATGAGACGGGGAAGTATAAATGAAATAGATCATTAATAAAATATCCTTTTATTGAGGTCTGATCTTCAATGTATCATGTTCAATTAAAATGACAAAATTTGTTGGAATTGAAGGAGGTTATAAATAAATAGATTATGAAAGAAAGAAATTTTGAAGTAGATTATTAAAATAAATAAATGTATATACTTGAAGCCTGTTGGAAGGCTTATAATCTTGAGAAGAGAATCGAGGAGTGGGATTCATGAGGTGTTCTCTGCCAGGTTGAGAGTCCTGCTTTTGTGGAGGGAATTGGTTGCCGTCCGATGCCATGACCGCCGGAAAGTGAGCGCGCGGTGGTTTACGGTGGTTTAAGAAGTGTGGTAGCTCGAATTGTAGTGGAGAAATGAAAGGGTGTAGCATTGTATATATAGGCAGATAGACGTGAGGGATCGAAGCGGTGAGAAGTACGTGGAAGGCGGAGGAAGCATGTAACGTTTGGCTTGAGGTTACAAGCGGTGGACACGTCCGATCCTAAATTTAGGAAAACGCTAGCTGTGGATATATCTCTTGATCAGACTTTTGGCGTCTCCAATGCGATGAGATGAATGGTAGAAGTAAATCACCATATATATTTTCAATTGTAGAAAACCACTGGTTTACTTTTTCGAAAAATAAAAAAGTTAAATAGGCAAACGAACTCGAAAAAGAACCACCAAAACTTGAAGGATGTGCAAAGGAACACCCACAATTTGTGCAACACACAAAGTCTATAAAATCAATTCGCTGTCTTTTACTGTGTTAGAAACGTTGCAGCGGCAGTTTCTCGAGATATGATGGCCGGCTGACCAAAAAAGTAGCAAGTTTTATCGGAAGATTGTCCGAGTTTTGTTTTTGGACACTTTAGTAGTAAGTATAGCTCGTTGTGTGTTCATTTTGTTTTTCAAAATATTTTGACAAGCATATTGCATTATCTGTGTAAGATAAATTTTCTGACGGCATTCGTGTTCGCAGATGTCGCGCACGTAAGCGGTAAGTCACATTTTTTTCATTTCGGGCTTTGGTTTGCACCCTTGCGCGTAAAGAGAACATTTCCACTATGCAATCTTAACTCCTTCAAAGAGGATCTCATTTATAAGAGCATTCCCACTAGGAACCATCCATGTCAATGAGTGATTGAACTCCGCGAATCAATTTATCATGTACCCGTTATCCGTTTTGAGTGTACCACATATCGAATTGAAACTTTTATCAAAAGAAATACGAGAAATTCACTTTAATCCGACTCAAATTGAAAAGTTTTCTGAAATAATTTGTAAATGAGCACTCGATTCGTATTAGGGTATGTATCACATATCTAATTGAACCTCTTAAGAAGGAAATCCGAATCCACTTTATATCATATACAGAGTATACCCTAAAGTTGGTTTTGAGTGTATTATAGCCTTATAGGTATTGCACTACTCCTTACTTTAACCCGAATTTTCAAACGGAATTTGATCTGCTGGTCTATTATTTCTAAAGTCTGATCTTGTATGATATACTCCCTCCTTTCCAAATTGATTTGCAAAGTCAACATTTTTCGGTCAACCAATAAAAAAAAGTCAATCCTCTCTATCAATAGTTAATTCAATTTTTAATAATTAAAATTTACATATTCAGAAACTACATTGAAATCTCTTCAAAATTGCAAACTCCAAATTAGAATATAATTAAAAATTGATATCCTAATTAAACGAATAAAATGAAACTGTTTGACCAAAAAAAGTCAAATTTGCAAATCAATTTGGAGGGTTTTATAACTGTGAAAATCTCATTTATAGACCAAAACTAGTTCAAGACTCTGATCGAGTTACAACATCTTAATTTTTAAGGCAAGGTATATAATTAAATAAAGGGGGTCGAGACGTGGCAAATGGGCGTTAAAAGTACAAGTCTACCAAGTGTGTCAGCTGCTTTGCATGGACGCAACGTGGGGCTTATACATGCATTCATGCATGCAACTTCCGCGGTGCACTCTGATTTTACATCATCTCCGATCTTCGTAGTTATCAATCTAGCTCTAGTTTAAACCATATTTAAAGCCGCTTCGATCACCTAACCCGGCCATTAATCCTGCCTTAGCTTCATCTTCAAATCTCATCTCTAGTCTGTAGTCTCTACCCGGCCTTTAATTTCTAGATCTACATTTTTCTGATCGACCTTTTAATCACCATCACATATATATCCAATCCATGGCATCTCACGGCCGATACGCTGCAGCAATTTGGGGTTTCCTCCTCGCCTTTCTCTTTGCTTCTCTCTTGGTTCGCTGCGATGGTTAGTACTCCGATCCCTAACAAACTTCATTTTCTGCACTTCTAAGAAAAAAACTAAAATGCTTTTTTCTGGTGGCATAAGTATATATGGGTTGATGATGAAATTGATTTGTTCCCATTTAATTATATAGTTTCAAAATTATTGATTTTTCACTTTAATTTTGACATTTTGACTATTTTTATTATTTTTAAAAAATTACTGTACAAATTTTAACAATTTTCTCATATTTTTAAAAAGTGTGGATATTCTGAGAGAAGTTGAAAATCAGTAATATGGCTGGATTAATTGCTTTTTAAGTAAACATTACACCTCTTATTTTTCCTTGAGACAATTTTACCTTTTTAAATATGAAATCACTCCAAATAGGAGTGAAAGATAGGCATATTGTACAATTAATAGGGTATTTTTTATTCTCAAAAAAAGAATTATTTAGTCCTATTAAAAGTTTAAAAATGTCTTAATTAGGAGTGAATTCCTACTATTTTAGGAAAAAGTGAACGGTAAATTTTTATTTTCGTGTCTAGCCAAAACGCTAGTTCTTTATGAGAGAGATCTAGGGATGTTTGTACTTGAATCGCTGGTCTGATCTGGTCTGGTAATGTCTGGTCGCTTTGTATTTTTATAACTTCTGGTAATGTTTGGTCTCTTTGTACTTGAATCGCTGGTCTGATCTGGTCTGGTAATGTCTGGTCGCTTTGTATTTTTATAACTTCTGGTATTTTTATAACTTCTGGTAATGTCTGGTCTCTTTTTATAACTATTCAAGTCTGGTCTGATCTGGTCTAGTCTGTCTCGATCAAGTCCAAGTGATTGAGAGTATAGGGGATGAATTTAACATAAGCAAAATTATGCATTCCCTTTGAGCTACAAAATTGACTTACAAACAGATTCATTTTATCCACTTAATTAGAATATTAATTATTAATTAATTAATAAAATGTGAATATGTAAATTTTAAATTTTTATAATTCAATGAATTATCTAGAGAAGATTTAACTTTAACAATTTGGGAGGAAGGTAGTATGAATTTGAAATAGTAGACAAATTCATTACATATTTCTTTTCCATAAATGACTTGACATTACATGAATGATTAATATCAGATGAAGAGGATCATCTTCTTCAAGGAATCAACAGCTACCGGCAATCCTTGAACGTGCCAGCCCTGGCGAAGCACGACAAGGCGAATTGCCTGGCGGAGGAGATAGCTGATGAAATAGAAGACCAGCCCTGTCCCCGGCCGGGCAGCCGGAGCAGCCCGCCCCAAATCGGGAACTTACAGAAACACCTGGACAAGTGCAAGATAGACGCTAACTCGACGAAAGACGGGGCAATACTGCCCGTCTGCGTCCGGAAGCGAGTCCCTACGCTGGTTCTCACCAACTACACGCAGTCATTTCAAAACGCAAAATTCCTCAACGATTCCCGCTTCACCGGAGCGGGAATCGGGACGGACGATGACTGGACGGTGCTGGTGTTGACCACCAACACTGAAGCAGGGATGTTCGCAGCAGCGTCGGCTGCGGTGGTCAATGCAAGTCAACGGTTGATGCATTTGTTGCAGGTGGCCGCCGGAATGTCCCTTTTCATGCTGCTGTAGATCGATCTGAATAGTTTGCTTTGCCTTGTGTCATTAATTAATTGCTTAAATTTGCGGTAGACTATGAGTTAGAATATAATGTCTGTAATATACTCTATTTCAGTTCTGGTGATTTGTGTAATAATCCGTTTGATAGACTTTTTTTTTACGAAAATGGAGTTTTATTTAAAAGAAAAGAAGGATTACATCAGAAAATGAAACAAATTAGAGAAAATAGAAAACAGATGAGAAAAGAGCTACTCCGTAATAAAGAGAGCTAAAAAACGAGAGAGCTGCATCAGCAATAGGGCCCAGAGAGATGCGGTTATATTCGGCCCAAGAGAAGAGCAATCCGTTTGATAGACTATTAGACCATGTTTTTGCTTTAATTTAGAGTCAATTTGTTCACTAAATAGTAAATACTTATTCCTTTGACTTCATGTTCATCAGATATACGGAGTATTGGAAGCAACTTTTAAGTATGTACATTTTGATTTAGTGACACTTAATTAAAGGTAAAGATAATTTAGTATGGACATTTTGAATTTTAACGGCTCTAATCCTACATTACAGGCATTTACTACTAATCTACTAGACTTCCGGTAGACATTGATTCAAAAAAAGACTTCCAATAGACATTGATTCAAGTCACTTTCTATAGAAAATTCTGATTAGCTAGTGTTGGGATTGTACGGAATATTATTATTAGTTTGTATTATTATTAAAATGTAATTATCTTTAGCTCAGCCCATTTGTATTGTACGTAGGGCGTCATTAGGCCCATACGCGATTATTCCCTTAATTTGTTTCTGACATGGTATCAGAGCCTCACGCTAGCCAGAACATACTCTTGACCTTCTTGATCGCTGACCTGCGTTTTCTTCTGGGAGGAGCTGCACCAGCGCTGCAAGCGTCCAAAAGACATGTCCGGTGAGGATAAAATTGATGGTGCTTCCCCTTACTATCTTGGATCGGGAGATCAACCGGGTGATCATTCATGTGATACTTACCCGAGACAATTACGTGGCTTGGGCAAGGGCGATTACGCTCTCGTTGAAAGCAAGAATAAAACTTGCAGCGGACAGAGAGGAAGAAGGCATCGATGATTGATGATGAATACTATGTCGTCACCCGCTCTAACCTGCTCTCCCAAACCAACCTGGTTACTCTTGACCGTGCTTACCAAGTTACCAAGCCTTGCTTCAAGAGGAGAAGTCCAAAGATATTGCCAGTGGAGTTTCTACGTGAAGAGCCCATGCTTTTGCGTTGCGGGCTAACGTTCCAGTTGCCAAGGATGACCGTGTGGACAAAGCTAAGTTGTGTTGTAGCCATTCCAACCAGAAGAGACACGAGGTGGGAACCTGTTTCAAACTACATGGATATCCGGACTGGTGGATGGATAGAAACCGGAGTGGAAAGGGTCTGCCCAATACTCGCAGCGCACCGGGGTCTTCTCGTGATGGAAAGAAATTGGCTCATGCACACGCCTTGGTGGAAGAGGGGGTGCGGGCAGACACAGAAAGTCTTGTGGGACAGCTCAAGCCCGAACATGTTTGTGCTTTGATCAACTTGATTAATTCGGATACAGAAAGTACTTGTTCTGACCGTATGAGTGGTAAGAACAGTTCTTCATCTTGGATTCTTGATAGCGGAGCGACACACCATGTCACTAGTAATGCTGATTTATTTGTCCATAGTACACCCGTTGATCAATGGACGAAGGGACTGCCAAATAGGCAGCGGGTGGTAGCAAGTGTGATTGGGGATGTACCGTTGTCTGACCATTTTGTTCTAACAAATGTTTTATGCGTGCCCAACTTAAAATGCAATTTGATTTCAATCACACAACTGATAGATGATTCTAGGTGCATCGTCCGGTTCACTAATAACTTGTGTGTTGTACCGCACCAACTTTCGGGAAACCCGATTGGAACCGGTGAGCGACGGGATGAACTCTATTACTACCGAAGCCTTCCGAGTGTCCAGTTGATTACTTCGTAAGAGCTTGGGAATTTTGATTTATGACACCGCCGATTAGGACATCCTTCTGATCGCGTGCTCAAGTTAGTATATGTTGTTAGTTCTTCTTCGGGATCTAAATCCCTTAATAAGCCGTGTGTGGCATGTCCTATGACAAAGAAAAAACGTTGCAGTTTTCCTATCAGTGAGAATAATCGTGTTCCATCATCTTGTGACGTTGTCTATTTTTTGACAATTGTGGATGATTTTTCTCGTGTTGTATGGGTGTATCTCTTACGCAATAAGAGTGAAGTTAGTAAAGTTTTTAGTGCATTTTTTGCTATGGTGGAACGACAATTTGCCACTAAGATAAAAAATGTACGGACGAACAATGGAACAGAATTTGTATGTATGACCGATTATTTTGCTTCTCTCGGTATTTTGTTTCAGACTTCCTGTGTGGGTACACCACAACAGAATGACCGAGTGGAACGTAAACACCAGCATATACTTAACGTCGCTCGCGTTCTTATGCATCAAGCTTGTTTGCCGCTCCGTTTCTGGGTAGAATGCATTCTGGGAGCCGTGTATTTGATTAATCGCACGCCTTCCGGTCTCCTTGCTAATAAAAGCCCATTTAAAATATTGTGTGGGACAGCTCCCACTTATGATAAGATGCGTGTATTCGGTTGTTTGTGCTTCACACATATTCAGCAAGCTAAGGGCAATAAATTTGCACCTCGGGAGCGTAGGTGTGTTTTTGTTGGCAAAAAGGGTTGAAAACTCTTTGATTTGGACAATCACAAATTCTTCATTTCCAGGGATGTGCTGTTTTACGAGCATGTGTTTTCATTCGCGGCGACCCCGACTATTGTTAGTGATGTTTCTAATGTTCCTAATTCCATTGGTTTTGACGATGATTATGATGATTCTTTGGTTGATACCCTTGCTGATCCTGCTGACAATGCTGAAGAAGGGGATGTCCATGAACATGCTCCAATTACACCTACTGCCGCTGCATCTGTTGACATCCCAGAGGGTACCGCCGAAACACCACTAGGCAGAGGCCTTCGAACTAGACAACCTTTAGTCCTGCTGCGTGACTATATCACCCATGCCACAAGTAGTATAAGTTCTGTCCTGGTGCACCCGTCTTCTTATCCAGGTAGCTCTTACTCTTTGGCTCATTGTATTAATTTTGACAGGTTCTCTGATGGTCATCACGCCTTTATTGATGCTGTTCATGCGGGGATTGAACCCCAATCTTTCTCGGAAGTCATGCAAGATAAGGACTGGTGTGACGCTATGGCCCAAGAGTTCCGAGTGCTCGAAGATAACGGCACATGGACTATGGCTGACTTGCCTCCCAACAAAAAGGCTCTGGGTTGCAAGTGGGTCTACAAGATCAAATATAATTCTAACGGGAGTGTTGAACGTCTCAAGGCGCATCTTGTAGTTTTGAGTAATCATCAAATTGCTGGATTGGATTACAATGAAGCATTTGCTCCTGTAGCAACAATGGTTATTGTTCGTGCTTTCCTTGCAGTTGCTGCTGCCAATAATTAAGAGCTTCATCAAATGGATGTACACAATGCTTTCCTCCACGGTGATCTTGACGAGGAAGTGTACATGAAGCTATCACCGGGTTTTTCTTATAGCTCTCCTGGTCGAGTGTGTCGCCTTCGTAAATCCTTGTACGGATTACGCCAGGCTTTTCAGTGTTGGTTTTCCAAGCTTCCTACCTCCTTGAAAAATTATGGGTTTCGCCAATCCTATTCAGATTATTCCCTCTTCACATTTCATCGGGGTGACATTCGGCTAAACATTCTTGTATATGTTGACAATTTAATTATTTCAAGTAATATTGTATCTGCGCTAACCTCTTTCATGGAATATTTAAGTACTTGTTTTCATATGAAGGATCTTGGAGCCCTCAAATATTTCCTAGGGGTGGAAATTGCACGGAGCACGGGGGCTTATTTCTAAGCCAACGAAAATACTCCCTTGATATTATTACAGATGCGGGTCTTCTTGGCGCAAAACCCGTGAGTATACCGCTCCCAGAGAATCATTCTTTGGCCTTAGCTGCAGTGATCCCCTTCCTGATCCAGAACCGTATCGGCGACTTGTTGGTCGTCTTATCTATTTGTCCTTCACGTCTCAAGGCGCGTCTTGTAGTTTTGAGTAATCATCAAATTGCTGGATTGGATTACATTGAAGCATTTGCTCCTGTAGCAACAATGGTTATTGTTCGTGCTTTCCTTGCAGTTGATGCTGCCAATAATTAGGAGCTTCATCAAATGGATGTACACAATGCTTTCCTCCACGGTGATCTTGACGAGGAAGTGTACATGAAGCTATCACCGGGTTTTTCTTCTAGCTCTCCTGGTCGAGTGTGTCGCCTTCGTAAATCCTTGTACAGATTACGCCAGGCTTTTCAGTGTTGGTTTTCCAAGCTTCCTACCTCCTTGAAAAATTATGGGTTTCGCCAATCCTATTCAGATTATTCCCTCTTCACATTTCATCGGGGTGACATTCGGCTAAACATTCTTGTATATGTTGACAATTTAATTATTTCAAGTAATATTGTATTTGCGCTAACCTCTTTCAAGGGATATTTAAGTACTTGTTTTCATATGAAGGATCTTGGAGCCCTCAAATATTTCCTAGGGGTGGAAATTGCACGGAGCACGGGGGCTTATTTCTAAGCCAACGGAAATACTCCCTTGATATTATTACAGATGCGGGTCTTCTTGGCGCAAAACCCGTGAGTATACCGCTCCCAGAGAATCATTCTTTGGCCTTAGCTGCAGTGATCCCCTTCCTGATCCAGAACCGTATCGGCGACTTGTTGGTCGTCTTATCTATTTGTCCTTCACGTCTCAAGGCGCGTCTTGTAGTTTTGAGTAATCATCAAATTGCTGGATTGGATTACATTGAAGCATTTGCTCCTGTAGCAACAATGGTTATTGTTCGTGCTTTCCTTGCAGTTGCTGCTGCTAATAATTAGGAGCTTCATCAAATGGATGTACACAATGCTTTCCTCCACGGTGATCTTGACGAGGAAGTGTACATGAAGCTATCACCGGGTTTTTCTTCTAACTCTCCTGGTCGAGTGTGTCGCCTTCGTAAATCCTTGTACAGATTACGCCAGGCTTTTCAGTGTTGGTTTTCCAAGCTTCCTACCTCCTTGAAAAATTATGGGTTTCGCCAATCCTATTCAGATTATTCCCTCTTCACATTTCATCGGGGTGACATTCGGCTAAACATTCTTGTATATGTTGACAATTTAATTATTTCAAGTAATATTGTATTTGCGCTAACCTCTTTCAAGGAATATTTAAGTACTTGTTTTCATATGAAGGATCTTGGAGCCCTCAAATATTTCCTAGGGGTGGAAATTGCACGGAGCACGGGGGCTTATTTCTAAGCCAACGGAAATACTCCCTTGATATTATTACAGATGCGGGTCTTCTTGGCGCAAAACCCGTAAGTATACCGCTCCCAGAGAATCATTCTTTGGCCTTAGCTGCAGTGATCCCCTTCCTGATCCAGAACCGTATCGGCGACTTCTTGGTCGTCTTATCTATTTGTCCTTCACGTGTCGTGATTTAGCTTATGTCGTGCACACGTTGGCTCAATCTATGCATGCGCCACAGTCCGCTCATTGAGCAGCCGCGCTCCGAGTGGTTCGTTACCTCAAAAGTTCTCCAGGGCAATGAACTCTTCTCTGCTCCGATAGCGCCATGTCTCTTTCTGCTTGATGTGATTCGCATTGGGCTAGTTGTCCTCTTACACGTCGCTCTCTTACCGGTTGGCTTGTCTTTCTTGGGCACTCCCCGATTTCTTAGAATACTAAGAAACAACATATTGTTTCTCACTCATCTGCCGAAGTGGAATATCGGTCCATGGCCTCTGCTACATCCGAGGCCCTCCCCAGCTGCATCCTCTCTTGCTTGGCCTTCCCAAATCCTCTCGTGTTTTGCCTCCCCTGGACCCTCCTCCTTGTTGCCCATCTCGTCCTTCTTTGACACACTGTTACTTGTCTCTGCTGAGAACATGGTGTTTTGTGCCCATATGCCTTCACTCAAGATCTATCTTCTGCTGAAACCTAGCACCCCCTGAGCCCGAAGAATTCTCCATTAGCCATTTATTGGCCCCTGTGAGCTTGGTCTTCCCCCCTCCACCAACCCGAAGCTCAACCCCAAAAATTTTCTCCAACACAATGCCATTCTCATATTTCAAGGAGCAGAATTTATCAGAATGCCCAATCACCCCACTGAACAAACAGAAATTAGGTAATTTCTCATATTTAAAATCTACCCAATGTCTAATCTCCTCTTTCTTCAAATCCATGCACACTCTAATTCTCATGTCCATGCACACTCTAATTCAGTAATTCTCATGTAAGATTTGCACTTTTCCTCAAACTGGTTCTTATCAAAGCTAATAAAAGTGCAAATATAATTTACAATTCTCCTAACAAAACCCAAGTTTCGAAATTTAAAAGGTACTATGTGGACCTGTATCCAGAAATTAGTCTCACACAAAATCATCTTTTTAGGGATATCATTTGGTGAAGCAGATCTCCTCAAGCACGCAATTCATGTCCTAAAATTTGGCCACAGGGCTTGTGGTTAATTTGGTGCATCTTCTCCCTTTTATAAATCTTCTTCTAAAATCATTCCAAATACACAGACATAGGACAAAATCTTGTCAACTGAACCCTAAAATTTATCAGCGGAACCGGGGTATATCTTCTCCTTTACTTTCAGTCAGCAGTCCAGTTTCCGCTTTCCCTCTCCGATCTCCATTTAACGTCTCTTTTATCATATATAGATTTTGCCATTTTACACGCGTATGTATCTTTTGTAATCAATTGTTTGTTCTACTCTGAAATCTGAATTGCAGAGCAAAGCGGTAAGGGAAAAAATGCTGGACCCAAATCTATTTCGAGAAGACAAAGGCTTCAACCCTGAAGTCATCCGAGAATCTCAAAGGAGGCGTTTTGCTGACCCTGCTGTAGTTGACGAGGTCATTCATCTCGACAAAGAGTGGCGTGAGCGTATGTGAACTGTGTTTCTCTGCTAATATTTAGACTCAATCCATAAAATATACTAATTCATGGTAACTTGAAATAAAAATTGAATCTTGGTGAGCTCTCATATAGGTCAATTCGAGCTGGATAATTTGCGTAAAGAGTTCAACAAGATCAACAAAGAAGTAGCCAAGCTGAAGATAGTCAGGCCTAATACTTTACTGAGTTTAATTTATTTTGTGCAATATCCCTTTTTTAACATCTTCTACTGTTATGATAGAAGGCTTGATATTAATGGAAGAAAAGTTATTTAATTTTGGGATATTTTGACTTTGCACCCCACTTTTTAGGTGATATTGGACTTTGCACCCACTTTCAAAACTCTTAGACTTTGCATCCCATTTCCTCTAAAATGCCTTTGCCTTTGCACCCCATTGAGGAAATTTTCTTCACAAAATGTTGTAGATAGGGTGAAAAGTCTAAGAGTTTTGAAAATAGGGTGCAAAGTCTAAGAGTTTTGAAAATAGGGTGCAAAGTCCAATATCAGTCAAAATGTGGGATGCAAACTCAAAATTCCCCTTTAATTTTCTCCACTGCAAATTATTTTACATAGTTATGCTCTTCTCACTAATTTATTGTTTTTAAACTAGCTTTTTTATGATACTAAAATGCATGTGATTGTTAATTTGGAAAAAGTAATGAAACACTGATTAGTGTGCATTCACTTTAGAATTAGTGTTTTACTACATGGCATAATTTTGTTGTTGTTAGCTGTTTGATTTGTAGGATGATACTAGTCATAATACCAGTATGTAATTGGTAATAATGTGATCATTCACTATTTTGCTGATGTTTGTTACCGACAAGGATGGTGTCCCTGATTTTTAATATTAAATTTATTTTCATCTGTGTTATGTTTATAAGAATGGGATCTGTTTCTCAACTAGTAAATAGGGCAATAGAAGTCAACAATCTATATGCTGGAAATTTTAAAACATGTGAAAGGCACGATGCAACTTAAAATGCCAGTTGAGATTTCTGTTTATCTATGTGTGCTACCAGGGTAATCCACGTGGGTAGGCTGATGCATATTTTTACCCTGCATGTTTGTGTAATCCCAATCACAATTCTTTCTTAGAATCCTTGGCTTCCATGTTTGTTAGAGATTCACATGAATGTTCATATTTGGTAGCGATTAAAAATCTTCACTATTGATGTCCTCAAGGCAAAACAAGATGCAAGTGAGTTAATTAAGAGTACTGAAGAGAACAAGAAATTGACTGCAAAAAAAGAAGAAGAAGTGCAAGTAGCCCGGGCAGAACTATATACAAAACTTGAAAGCATTGGAAATCTTGTGCATGACTCAGTTCCAGTTAGCAATAATGAGGTTTGTTACTATCTCCTTATTCTATAATCATTTTCCTGATAGAAAATCATTTCCCTGGGTTTATGTTAAGAATAATTTCCAGGACAATAATGCTTTCATTCGTCATTGGGGCGATAAGAGAACCGAACCGGGGCTCAAAAACCATGTTGAGCTTGTGAAGCTTCTTGGAATTGCTGATTTGGAGAAAGGTATTGACCTTTTGGTACCATTTGGGGTGCACAATATTTTTGCAATATTTGCATTATATACCGGCTCCTGATATCATGTATAAATTCATGTTAGCCGACTCATCTGTTGGGAGTATGTCTTGGTTGTTGTCATGTCATTATAGACTTGCATGCTATTTAAAACTACCAATCCATCCATTTATATACTTTGCAACTCATGTCATTCCTCATTTTTTGCTAATTTAATAATTTAATAATTTAAAACATATTTAGGTGCAAATGTTGCTGGAGGTAGAGGTTACTATCTGAAAGATGATGGCGTTGATCTAAACCAAGCATTGATCTCTTTTGCCCTTCGTTTCTTGAAAAGAAGGGGATATTCTCGATTACAGACTCCATTCTTTATGAGGCAAGATATCATGGGAAAATGTGCTCAACTTGCACAATTTGATGAAGAACTTTATAAGGCAAGTTTTGAGATTTTTCTTTATACATCAGGTATTCAGGTCCTCTTCCACAGATATATCAAATACCTTTGCTCAGTAAAGGGATACTCTAGTTGAACACGTGTATCTCTTTATGGAATATTATGTTTTCTAAATTTTTATGTGATGAAGTGATGAACTATCTGATTGTTTTACCTAACTGTCTTCCAATAGGTCACTGGTGAGGGAGAGGATAAATATCTTATTGCAACAGCTGAACAGCCTCTCTGTGCATATCATATGGATGATTGGATCCACCCCTCGGAATTGCCACTAAGGTACCAACATTTTGCTATGGACCTGATAGCCGGTAGGCTGGTACGGAAGAAATTTCTTTCGCAATGAACTTCATTACTGGCTTCAAATAGTGTTTTATTTTCATTCATTTTTTAGATATGCTGGATATTCGTCATGCTTCCGTAAAGAAGCTGGTTCACACGGACGTGACACACTCGGCATTTTCCGTGTTCACCAATTTGAAAAAGTTGAGCAATTTTGTATCACCAGCCCGAATGAAAATGACTCCTGGGACATGCATGAGGAGATGCTCAAGAACTCAGAGGACTTCTTCCAACAGGTCAGAGTTGATGCTGAATATTTGTGGCTTTGAAATCTGTTTCTATTGTGATTTTTAAGGAAATTGGTCATGTATTCATTTAAAAGTTTTTACTTGATGGAAGATTTGCATATCGACAATGACTGAAAAATATATATTCACTTTGAATTCTTTTTTGTTGCAGCTAAAGATTCCCTATCAAGTAGTTTCAATTGTCTCCGGTGCATTAAATGATGCTGCTGCAAAAAAGTATGATTTAGAGGGATGGTTTCCTGCTTCTGCCACATACAGAGAACTTGTTTCATGCTCAAACTGCACTGATTACCAATCAAGAAAATTGGAAATTCGTTATGGTCAGAAAAAGGTGGGATCTGAGCTTCCGTTTTTAACCATTCTCCCTACAAACTTTCTCTAAAATACCCTCTGTTCTTTATGATGAGGCACAGTTGACCAAATTATACAAACTATGGGAAGTATTTAATTTTTAATCTTGAGGCCTTTAAAATTTGTGGTATTCCAATTTTACTATCTTTTACGTAGTATTATGCTGCCGAGCATATGCGAGGTATGTCATAATGTCAGTGATGGTTTAGCTTGATGCCTTTCCGACATTCTCACCTTCCTCTTCATTTCCATGTTTTTTTGTCGAACAGGGAAATGAGCATTCGGCTAAACAATATGTTCATTTGTTGAACTCAACCCTGACAGCAACAGAGAGGACATTGTGTTGTATCCTTGAGAACTACCAAAGGGAGGATGGGGTGGAGGTCCCTGAAGTATTGCAACCTTTCATGGATGGTGTGACTTTTCTTCCATTCAAGAGCATCCCAAATGGTAAAGGGAAAAAGTCGAAATAGACATTAGTATATGCTTCAGAAACAAAGCTATTTAAACAATCACGACTGTTTATGTGGTCTCATGGCGTCTGATTTCAGACGCCGTTTTTGCACAACATAATGTATTACTTATTTTGCGTGGTTTGGGATGAATAGAGATTTTTTTGATTTTTATATGTCCAATTTTATGCAAACTCATTGACCAACTATATATTTTTATTTGGAAGTTATTTATGATATAAAAATTATATAAAACTGTTCTTTATTAAAAGTACTTTTATGAAAGTATAAATTTATAAGATCCATAATATTATATTATATTGTATTAGTCTAAAGGGAAAATGGAAACTAATAATCCAACATTTTAGCGGTCTTCTTACAATAGTCCTACCTTTTCGTTATTCAAGAATAATCTAACCTTTGCATCCCATCTTCATCCTTTAGTCCTTGACCGGTAATGACCTATTATTCCAAGTTATTTTCGTATCTTTGCAAAATATTATCTTTGTGAATGGTGAGATTTATGATATAATGGTTTGCAAAGATAAGAAAATAACTTGGAATAGCAGGTGCAAAGGTTGGATTATTCATGAATAACGAAAATGTGGGATTATTGTAAGAACTAGGCCCGACCCGGACCCGAGCCATTACCCAGACCCGAACCATTTGACCCAGACTCGGACCCGAACCATTTGACCCAACCATGATATAACCTTTGCACCTCATCTTCATTCGCGGTCTTCATTCGCTGGTCCCTGAACCATGATTTAATAATCCTAACCATTTCAGAAAATTTGAACCATGATCTATTGTAAGAAGTAGTGTTGGACTCGGGCCGGGTCGGGTCCGCTAAAAGGTTGGATTATTAGTTTTCATTTTCCTTAATCTAAATCATGGTTCAAATGTTCTGAAATGACTTTTTTAGGACGGAGGTAGTATGACATTGGCACTGTAATTTCTTTTTACATTTACGGGTGCATTTATATTCTCAAATGCCTTTAACATTGAGTTCAATAATCTATCCGTTTGGAACGGCGTGTGGGAAGTATGATGTTTTTAATACATTAAAATGTTTTTACTTGGATTGTTTTCAATACCAGATCAAACTTAACCAGATAAGATTAGATTGGACTTGACCAAATTTAAATAGCCTAGACCATACGAGACTTTCATAGGTATAAAATGCACAGAGATCAGATATTTATTAGACCGGTTTCAGATGAGACCGGATCAAACTAGATTTAAACAAAATTTTAGTACAAGTAAAAACATTCTCACTTGAGATAACATCTAAAATATTAGAGTAGAAGTTTATGCACCGTTTTTAGTGTCATTTTGGGTGAATTTAATTAATGTACATGCATAAGCTAATTACTACGGTAGTACCAATAGTATTGAGCAAATACTATTCCAGCTTAAACTTCTCACTTATCCTTTTCTAGCTCAATAAGGCTCTATTTTAACTCTGTTCTAGCTCAAGTCTTTTTATTGATTTTGGCTATGTTTGGCACAACGAGTTGAAACTAGAGGCTAATGTCTGAATTAGAGGCTATTGTATGAACTATAATTATTGTCTGGAGCTGAACTTTGAAGTGTTCAGTCTGAACTGCTAGCTGAATGAAGTAGACCTATTTGGCAAAAAGAGTTGAAGAATTGTCTGGATAATATGAAATTATATTAAAGGACATTTGGTTAAATAAAAGAATAATACATATATATATATATAATAATTTTATATTTTATTAAATATCAAATAAAGAATACGTAGTAATATATTGGATGAACTATTGTCCTATAAATTTCAATGTGATTCTGCCTCTAGCAAAGCGTATATGTAAAAAACAATTATAAGACTTTTTAGAGCCACTTTCAAAACAATGGAACAATTTTACAAGAAAAAATATTTATCAATTATTGAGTTAAAATTAAGTATGGTGATAACGTAATGATTGAATTACATTATATACGTAGTAGGTGTCTTGCGATAACTTTTAGCCATCGATGAAGAAATTGGGGACAGAATTATTTTGCATGAGTGCGTTGAGAGACACTATTGGAATGGAAAGTCTAGATATATGAGTCTGAATATAAACGTTAGTAGTCTAAGCGTTTGATTCCAGACTGATTTTTAGCTTAAGTTTCGTTCAGCCCATCAACCAAACAGGACGAATCTAATCATAGTTGACTGACTTGGAAAGAATTCGGCCCATTTTTAAACTCCGTATAAAAAAGGCCACGGCTGAAAGTATAAAAAATGCCACGACTGAAAGTATCACTTCACAACTTAAATGTCTAAACGAACAAATAATGGGTTTGATTTTTAGAATAATTTAAGGATTGAGGACGGTATTGAAGATTTTGGAATAACTAGGGATAAAAAACAAAAAAGTTATTTGTACTCACCCTTTACCCTTATACCCATCTTTATACACACCATGTTTGTACAAGACCTTTTTGTACAAACAGATGAAATAACACAAATTTTGTTTGTGAACCGGATTCACAGACAAAAAAAAACTTTCACAAACATAATAAGTATAATGTGAGTATAAGGGTGAGTTCATCAAGCATTGTTGTTAAAAAATGATTTTCCCAACAAAGATATATCAATATTCCAGTTAAAAATATTTCATCTTGAGGTTTGTGAAAGAAGGCTTGTGTCATGCAACTGTGCACGGATTACAACTGTACAACCATGCATGTTACGGAGTATTGAATAACATCACACAACAATCGACCAACCATCGTACCCAAAAACATAAAGGGTATGTTTGGCAAATGGCTTATCAGCCGGCTTTTAGCTTGTTTGACCCATTTCAGCTGTTTGATTGGTCAAAGAAGCTAATAATGATGTTTGGTAAATGGCTTTTAAAATTAGCTTGTTGAGTTTGAAAAGCTGAAAAAATGGATTGTTGAAGAAGCTAAGGGGAGCAGCTTCTTCATTCGGCTGGTTCAATTTACACTCTATCAGCCATTTCGAAACAACCAATTTTACCAAACAGTTATCTATAATCAGCTAACATAACCAGCCGGTCAAAACAGCTAACACAACCAGTTGTTAGGAAACAGCTGACACAACCAGCTAACAACAACAGCTAACAGTCATTTGCCAAACATACCCAAAGATTAGCTGTACGAATATGTATTCAATTTATTGATTCACTTTTATAGATAAAATAAATTGGGTTGCAGGCTTCGCTGGACTTTTACCAGACGCTCAAGAACTGACTGATAAATCATTGAAAAATTTTAACTGCAATCTGAGCTTGCCTTCTGTGTTCTTAAATCTTAACACCAGTCTGTATAACAACGTACATCAGTACATGGAACCGCCCCTTAGAAATTAAAAGTGTTTACCAAGGATGGATTCAGTAATCTGAGCTTGAATAGATTGAAAAGTAATTATACTAGATTTTAAACATTAGCCCAAGATATAAATATGAAGAGAAAAAATTACATAGAATTTATTTTGGAAAAAAGGAGGTTTCCGTGAACTTCAGCTCACTATCCTAACACAGCTGGTGTCAACAGTTCGCAATACATATCGGTTCATTAAATCAGACATGGTTGTGTAGAGTTAAGTATCAAATATTTTCTGATGGGGTTAGGACGGAGCATTCATAGTTTTCAGATATTAACTTCTCGGATTTTGTAATTGTTTTGTAATGCTTCTTTATGCTAATAATCTCTGGCAAAGTGCTGAGGACTAGACGATCAGCCCAACGAGTAAACAGGTCGATGTAGCCATTGGAGAACTGCTCACTACAGGCCCGTGGCATTAGGCATTAGGTACACAACCAGGACAAAACTATATTGCTGAACGAATAGTATTATTGAGTATATAAAGTGCAATAACAAAATTGAATCAATACATAGATTGTCTTACATTTTGATACATTCATATGTGTGTGTCTCTTTTAAACTACATGGTTTGTGGACGGGGTTATACTGTGACGGTGAACAAGTAGAGCCGAAGTACCAAAGCAAGAGCAAGCTGTAACAGAAAGATACCAGCCACAATCAAGAACCACCTCTCCCCAGCAGAAACAATGTGTGTCCTAAGGTTAAGGGCAACAAAGGTCGCAGACATGAGCCCAGCCAAACCAGCAACCACCCATCTGAATATTTCAATAGGTACGACTGAAAGGCACTACAGAAAAAAAGAAGACAAAAAAAAAAAAACAAGACGGGGGTTAGAAATTATAAGCAAATTAGAGCTTGTTTGGTAATGCAAAAATGGACTCTCTCTAAATGTGCTCAAATTGGATGAAATGACTGAATGTGGTGCATAATGAAATAATTATATTTAAAATACAATTTATTAATAGAATAAATAAAAAGTTACATGTAAAACATAAACTAAACTAGCCCTCTTCAGCAAATTCAACCCCCCCCCCCCTTTACTGCAGGGGGGTCTGGGGGAGGGGGCTGGGGGGAGCCTGGAGTAATAGGGGTTGAAACTCACTCCATTGAATTTCAACCCCCTATGTGCCTAGCGGGTTTCGAATTCGAGACCTTTCACTAGACACGGTAACCTCTCGACCAGCTGGGCTGGAATGCTTGGTTGTTAAAAAAACCAATCATAAAAGGTGTCTCTATCTTTACTTATTTTGTTTACTACACAGTTCAGCTTGCATAATAAAAAATTTGTGTTTGATAAAAAATCTGACTCGATAAGGCTGTTAAGCCAAAAGAATAGTTTACCAAATGAGCTCATAGTGATTCTAGATTATTTTATGATAATAAATCCTGTAATAAACTGGAAATAAATAAATGGAAGTGTTTAGTAAGGATGCTAGAAAATTCGATTATTATCACACTATACATTCAAATAAACACATACTAACAATATTGATGCGTTTATGTTTGCAATAAGCGAAAAGAAGTCAAACCTACCTTATATCCAAAAAGGAATGTAAAATAAGTAAGGGCAATGAAGATGAATGCAGAATATATTCATAATAAAGACACATCAGTTGAACTGTTGAAGAATGAATAGTTAACACTTAAGAGTTAAGCCTCACCAGTGCAGGGATGAAGACAAACAGGGAATATCCATAGAGACAGAGTAGTTGAACAAGGCTGGCAGGAGCAGATAAGTACTTGAGTATAACATACAAGCAAATGGGGACTATGACCACATATCCATAGAATAAACCGGCAGACCAAGTCACCAGATTGATGTCATAGTCCCATTCTTTTTTCTGAATCTTGTGGGCCAAATATGTAACAAATGTGCCGATGGAAGCTGCCACAAATATCAGGGTAGTGCAGATCCAGAATGGTCCATACCTTAAAGAAACAAGATATAGCAATGAGGGTACTATAGTCATTTTGAGATAAGACCAAAATCTGAGATTGTTTTTTTTTGGTAAATGCCAAAACTTATATTAAAAGATCGTTTGCCAATTGGCTTACAATATTATCAGGTATAGAAACAAAATTAACGACACAATTAGTCATAGAAATAGCCGCTTTTGCAAGAATATGAGCTGCTTGATTTGCTGATCTTCTACACCATTGGACTGAAAAGCTTGTTTCCTCTTCCAATTTAAGATTGTTTTAAGTATATGAATTTCATCAAAAGACATTTCCCAGTGTTGTTTAATGAATATCATTTGCTACTGAATACAAATATCCATTCTGAACATGTACTGACACAGAACAACAAGGTAATGATGATTCACTACAACAACAAATATGAAATATCACAAGCCATAGGCTTTTGATTCTAAAATACACTCAGAATGCAGATGCAAGGATTATAAATTTCAATTCCACATTATGAAATCCGACATTTTCCTCCATTCGTGTATAAAATAAAAGCATTGAGAATGCAGCATGATAAAAAAAAAAGTCAACTAATCTAGTATTAACTTAAGCAAGAGGAGCATGGTCACCTTTACATGAAAAGATGACAAATGTGAAAATTATCACAAAGTTCTTAATTAATGGGCGAGTAGCAATATATCCAGCTACCAATATCAGAATAGCAGGTTATGAGTATGAGCTAGAGGTACAAGTACAACTAAAATAACCAAAGAATATAACAATAATGACTGAGATGATTGAGAATGAATTAACAAAGAGAACATGATGACGGCAACATACAAATCTGGGCTACTAGAAGTTTTCTCAGTAAAGGCTCCACCAAAAGGAAAGAGTGAATATTTTATCCTTTCCAAAACATCAGATGTATCAACATCAAAATAGGGCTTGTAAGCAGCAATAGTGAAAGCACTTAACCAGCCACTCTGTCGGGACACATCAGAACCAGATGCTGGTTTGGAGAAACTATCTACAAAACAATAGAGAAAAAATGATTTCTTGAATGAAACTACAGAGAATTCAACATTGACAGGGCACACTACTACACGGGAAAGAATATGAAGGGGATCATTGAATTAACCGTTATGCCATCCACACAAAAAATATCCTTTTTATTTTTATTCTCTACGTTATATTTATATACCACTTGTAAGAGCTCCAACCTATACCCACTACCCAATTTAACAAATTAAAGACACCAAAGTGCAAACAATCTGAATTAGGGGTAGCTCCCAATAGCTGAAGAGCAAATTCTCTTCTGATTTCCAAAGGACATAGTGTCAAAGGCTCAAAGCTTTGTGAGACACACTACATAAGCATAGTACATTGCCTAATTATCTCAGAACTTCAAAGCAGTGAGGAGATTAGCCTAAGAAACTTGCTGGTGTGTAGCAGTTGAAGAGCTTCTAGTATTTGGTCACACAGCTTGTCTCCAACTATAAACATGTAGCTGTTGAATACCTACCATTCAGATCAAATTCTAGTGATCAAATCCTAAAATCACCCAATAGTACAATTCCAGCATCTAAATGCAACAGACCAACAGTCAACACAGACACAATGAAATGAAAGACCTAAAGATGGCTCTAACAACTTCAATCCACATAAAAACATCCCCAACAAAGGAAAACCGAAAAGTAAGTAGTACATGAGAAGTGACCACCTATTATACAGGCCGCCTTAGTTCTCAACCACTGTATGTCCTTTGTTCAAAATCAACCTGAATTTCTCTTCAGCTGGATAGCTGATCAAAATAAAATAATATGAAAGATTATAATACAAGTATAATCTACTGAGATCATACCATCAGCATCACGAGGAGGACCAGAGCCACGAGATATTTTCCCCTGTGAACTTGAAGGTGGAAATGTCTGAAGATTCGACTCTGCAAATTTTAGACACATTTCTTCCAACACTTAAGAAATCAATCACGAAAAATATACAATACATGTCGTAAGGGATACAATACCAGTGAATTTGACGGCAACATGGGAAGGAGGATCTGCTACTGCCTGGAAATTTACAAAAAAGAAAAATGAATAAAACAGTAGTACGATATCTAGATCTGCTTACAGTGATAATGTGGAAATGAACACATAAAGAAATTGACTTACAGGAACAGATCCAGAGACATTCTGATTATCGATGGCGGTATAATTGCTCGACATCATCTTCGCAATTCACTAATTATCTGTTCAAGTGTGCATATATGAATACATGTATAGCTATCAATGCATAAATATATATACTTTTCAAAGCTCTTATTTCGTGGCCGGCCAGGGAAGCTTTTCTTTCTCTTCTTCTTCAGCGTTTATACTAGCTGAGAGATCTCCCAAAACGTAATACGGAGTGAACAAATATTTCATAAAGGCTACTTTAATTTTATTTTTTTTAGGAAATTTGACTTTACACCCACTTTTATAAAAATTAATATTTGTACCCGTATATGGAAATTTATAAATATTTGTGCTCTAGTATGGTTAATTTTATTTAGGGAAAATGGAAACTAATAATTCAACCTTTTAGCGGTCTTCTTTCAATAATCCCACCTTTTGATTATTCATGAATAATCCAATCTTTGCACCTCATCTTCATTCACTGGTCCCTGATCAGTTAATGACCTACTATTCCAAGTTATTTTATTATCTTTGCAATTCATTATACCATAAATCTCATCTTTCACAAAGATAATATTTTGCAAAGATAAGAAAATAACTTGAAAAAGTAGGTCATTAACCGATCAGGGACTAGTGAATGAAGATGAGGTGCAAAGGTTGGATTATTCATGAATAATCAAAAGGTGGGATTATTGAAAGAAGACCGCTAAAAGGTTGGATTATTAGTTTCCAATTTCCCTTTTATTTATAACATGGGTGAGGTTTAGCCCACAATACATTTCTTTAAATGTTTAGATTTGTTGCATTTCAGGAAGACGTGCCTTATGTGGTGATGTTTTGGTCTAGTTTTTCTCATCATTGTATTTTTTATTATTTTTAATAAAACATGACAAATGTTCCCTCACATTTGTTGTCTTGATTTTAATGATTTGTCTACCAGGTTTAAAATATATAAAAAGAGTTGCAAAAGTCAAATGATTACAAGAGTACAACTTTAAATTCATGGGGTTTTTCAAAAATATTACTAAATTAAAACTTGTTTACAAAAATATAATTAATAGTTACTACAATATAATGTCACAGTAACTTAAATTTAAAAATTGAACAAGTTACAATGATTTCATTATTATTTTAGTCATTAGTCACATTTTTGTAAACAATCTTTATTTTAGTTATAAAACATGTAATCATTTTAAATTTTATATCCTTAATGCTTATTTTAAATGAAAAAAATTAAGCCAAGTACACTTGTATATAGTTCTAAATTCATATCCTTAATGGTTATTTTACATAACTTCGTCATGAGATCATTTTGGTATCATGTTTGTCTCAAGTCATGATAAAGGAGGAGGGTGTTGTTGTAAGCGCATGACGGCCAAAAGTATCACTTGGTTACATCACGTGACATGAATCAAAATATGAATATCGCTATAGTTAGGTTGTCGCCTGTAAGTGACACATCATCCCTCCGCCTGGGGGTGCCGTCAAATATGTAAGAGTGCGCTACACTTTATAGGTCTTGGTGTGGTGATACGAATGCTAAGGTTGATAGGTTGTCGCTCGGAAGCGACACACCACTTCAATGCCCAGGGGTGGTGTCAAATATGGAAAGATATTGTGGCGGTCGATGTGGTGTGAAGAAGATAGGACAGTGTGTTGGATTATGTTATGAGACGTGAAATGTTAGCTCTCTTACGGGAATATCATCTCAAGTATTCGAGGTTATGAGAAGAAGGAATATCAACATTATGTGTGTGCAAGAAACTAAGTCGGTTGGACAAAAGGCATGTGAGATAAATCCTGAAGATTTTAAGTTGTGGTATTCGGGAGAGAGAAGACCAAAATTGGAGTAAACATTATTTAGGAAGAACGACCGCATCATGTATGTGGTATGTGCCTATGCACTACAATTGGATCAGATGCATCAATCACTCAACAATACTGGGAAGATCTTGAGGAAGTGACACGACGAGTGCCAAAGTGGGAAAAGCTGCTGATAGGAGACGACTTCAACAGTTGATCGACCTCTTTTCTCTCTTCTCTTTTTTTGTCTTTTATCTTCTTTATATTTGTATGTTCTTATGCTTTTTTATCTTTGTCTTTCTTGTGCTCCTTTGTCTTTTTTTTTTTGTATCTTTCTTATTATGTTCTAATTATGTTATTTTTTATTGTATATTTATCTTTATCTTATACACTTTATCTTACTCTATCTTTTTATTCTTCTTATCTTTATTTTTTTTGCTCCGATATCATGTATCAATTCATGTTAGCCGACCTCAAAATCTTTTGGAAATAAGACTTGAATGTTGTTGTAATGGTTATTTTAAATCTATATGTTGCACTGAAATGCGAAAATAATGAGGAAACATGAAACGGGAAACATGTTTGGAGGGTTTCCAAAGAGTTTTCGAAACGGAAGCATACTCTTTTTCGAGAGTTTCCGTGCTACATAGTTTTACATCTTAACAGCTCATTACATACAATTAAGTTGCTAACATTTTACTTCAAATTGTTAATGGAAGTGGTTGGTTAAAAAGCTATCAGAATATGGAAGTATGAATCTGTTGATTCAATTGGGTATCAGCTTGCAACCAATTATGATTGTCAAACACTCCGTTGACAGTTTTAATTCTAAACTTTGTAGGACAAAGTTAAAGTAGAACTAGAAAAGTCAATTTCACAATATTTAATGACATAAGGGGGATGTCCCCAACGTGGATTCTGGAGGATTTTAATGGTGTTTAGAATTTCGTCAGAATACAAGTGTCCTTAATTTGGATTTCTGAGCTACGAAAATATTGTTGTTCTCAAACATTACATGCGTGGATTTCAATTATTGCTTATTTGGATTAATTTTAATGAATTTTGGTGGATTTTTACATACAAAACATTCTCCCACAAGTCTTGGGTGTTCCCAACATTCTACCCAAATCGGGAACATTTGTATTCTGACGGAATTCTAAACTCCATTAAAATCCTCCAGAATCCGAACTGGGAACACCCCCGTAAATGTCGGGAACTCTAAAACCGAGGTTTGAAACTATCTCACTCATACTAAATTGGCCGATTTGTCATCGGAACTTGATTGTTTACCAATTCGTCGCTGGTGTTTTTTTTACCAACATGTCGCCAATTTTTTTTATGGTAAACCATCTTCCCTTTTTCTTTTTTATTACCAATTTGACCCTTTTACGGTTTCCTACGTAGGAGAACTGATCAGGTCGAACCGAAGGGACGGGAGACGCCATCTGAACTCCGCCGTTTAGGGCGGTTCCCGGTGAATTTTTTTGATGAAATTTTTTGAGCATGTTTCTCATCAAGTCTAGTTTGTCCATACCAAATTGCAACTCAAGATTCGATCGGGAAGGCATTCAAAACATTTTTTGAAGTTGACTGCGCCAAAATATACATATAAAATCGCAGCCAACTTCAACAAATGATTTGAATGTCTTCCCGATCGAATTTTGAGCTGAAATTTGGTATGGACAAACTAGACTTGTTGAAGAACATGCTCAAAAAATTTTATCAAAAAAATACACCGGGAACCGTCCCAAACGGCAAAGTTTGGACGGCGGCGAGACCGGAGAGGGTTGGACTTGAGCATTTCTGTCCTACGTAGTACTATATTTTCTCAATATTATTTTATTTACAATTATAGACATGTCACAAATATTTAAAAATAGTGTAAAAAGTTTAAAAAGTACTGGTAATAGAAATTAGACGCATTACTAATTTTGCTTCTAAAACAATTCAATTGTGAATAATTGATTGATATATCTAAAAATACCAAATCAAGCAAAAAAGAGTCATAACTCCTTTATGAAGTTCAATAGACTCTAGTGTAAACTCTCGTTAACACTATGATATGATACTCCGTATGTTTTTAAGGTGTACTCCTCCGCCCCTTTTAAATGTACCGTTTTATCATATTGGGATGTCCCTATTTAAATGTCTCATATCTTATTTGGTAAACTTTGTGTGGTTCAAAATCATTCTTACTTTAATCTTACTTTATCAATTAATATCAACCACACAAACTCATTTTTCTTGAAATCTGGCCAATCCTCTCCCGTCCGGGGAATGAGGGAGTAGTTTTGAAGTGAACTTGGTGTGACGTTCAAAAAAATTGAACTCGGAACTCAGCCCCATTGAAGGCTTTCAAAATATTTGTATGGGAGATTGGGAGCGTTAGGAGGCGGGCATCGACATCATAGTGGCGTGGGCGGCGCCGGCTTTGCAGTCAATAGCTTGCCTGAATTCAGGAGGTTATGGGTTGAATGGTTATGGTTAGAGTGTAGATTTATTTCAACTATTGCAATGAGTGACGAAAGAGCGCCAGAATTTGGGGAACTTGGAGAGGGAGATTTTGGCGTGGGAGAAGAAGCAAGAGAAGAATTTGGGGCTAGAAATGAACAAAGAGAAAGGGATGAAAATGAATATGGAAAAGAGGAAGGAAGCTATCTAAGGGAACCGATTTCAGTGTCATACCCGAACAAGCGGGCTAAAGAGATGTTGATTGACCGTCTCAGCGCATTGCCAGATTCGTTACTTATTCATATTCTCTCCAAACTTGGTAGTGAGGAAGCCGCGACTCTTGCTGTGTTATCGAGAAGGTGGCAATATCTTTGGACCGAATTGCCTGCCTTAGACTTTTGGGAGACCCAGAAACCAGTAGATTTTGTGCCTTGGGTTCACAGGACTCTTCTTCTACGAAGCGGAATTTATTTGGAAAGGTTCAGGGTTTGGTTTAAGTACAATAACTGCTTTGCTTCTGATGTAAATGCTTGGGTTCATTTTGCTGTCAAAAATAAGGTGAAAAAACTTGCTTTGTTGCTACAATCAGACGAACACTTTTATAAGCTTCCTCAAGAGTTGTTTTCTAATTCGTCATTGAAATCGTTGTGGTTGCAAAGATGCAGCTTGGCTCCTCATAGAACAATACAGTGGCAATCTTTATCTCATCTGCAGATTGAAAATGTAGAGTTGTGTGATGATGTAATTCAAAAGATATTATTTGGCTGTCCAGTACTGTATGACTTAAATCTGTCAGAATGTTGGGGTTTCAATTATCTGCATGTCAACTCTCAAAGTCTCGCTTCACTTGGTGTATCAGTGTGTGAAGATAAGACGAGTAAACACGTGGTAGAAATCTCAGCACCCTATATTAGGACATTGAATATCGGACTTCATCCTTCAAAAACAAAGATGCAGCTCAACAACATACCATCTGTTGCTGATGCTAATATTGATTTCAGTGTGTGT